AGACTGCTGGAGGAAGACATGACTGACAGAGGAGACACAGAGAGGTGATTAGAACCCACAAAAAATATCCTGAATGTTAAATGTCAACCTTATAACATCACAGTTTGAGTGAAGAACAAAATATGAAAAGATGATGTAAAATGAAAATGTAATGAAAACCTTTTTTTGGTTTTGTATAACTGGAATGTGTTTGAACATGAAGGACGTGCTGTTTTCATTAATCACTATCATTCATCTGACTGATCAGCCTCACTCTGTTCTTATTAAGCGTGCTCTAAATCCTCCTCTGCATGGTGAGCGCTCTCTCTATCTGCTCTGAGTCTCTGTAGCTGAACAAACAGTAACAGCTCAACATGTAGAAATACAGGTGACAGATTCCAGCTTTCTGAACAGTTTAATAAAGTAAACAGTAGTTAAAGTAGAAATGTGCTGAAAAAACAGCTCTTAGAAATGACCAGTTTCACTTTTTCTCTCTTGGCCTGGTTTTCTGCTCCTTCAGAGTTTATCAGCAGAGGCTTTAACTCCTTTAAGAAGCTTTAAACTGAAGATCGTGTCCTGCTCAAAGGACCTGGATTCTGTTTATGAAACAGCTTTGCTTAACTTTCGTTTCTCCCCAGTGACATTGTTAGGCCACGCCCACTTTACCATGACGTTGGTCTGTTGCACTTACAGGTTTTGGCCACCAGGTGGAAGAAATTCACCAACTGACTTACAGCACATTCACCTGTTTCTCAGTATTTTACAAAGAAATAAATATTAAAACAAAGAAATTTTTAATTCATTCAGGCGAAGATTTATCTAGGTAACCAGGCACTACTGACTCTGAGCAGGTTTACAGATACATTAGGCTTTTACAGCAGTGCTGGTTTTCTGAGTAGCTGATTTTGATATGAAGATGTACAGAATGAGAGTAAATAACCAAAATCTTCAAAATGCTGTGAAAACCTTCATCAGTTCATTCTATTTTTTTTTTGATTTTTACCCAATTATCTCCCCAGTTTAGTCGTTTCCAATTCCACCCGCTAGTTAGGACTCCCCCAATCACACGATGCTATCAACGCTAGGAGGGTGAAGGCTAACACAGGCTTCCTCCGAGACCTGTAAAGCCAACTACCGCTTCTTTTCGAACTGCCGCTCACGCAAAGTCACCGGACAGCCGAACGCGCTCGGAGGAAAGCACCAACCGCCAGATCTGTTACGTCAGCTAACAGACGCCTTCGCTGACTAGCATCGCGTTGAGTGATGGGGGGAGAAGGAGGGGCCATCCTACCCACCCAGAGAGAGCGAGGCCAATTGTGCTCTCTCGGACTCCCGGCTACGGATGCATCCGTTCATTCTTGAGTAGATTTATAAAAGGACATTTTATCTTCAGTGTTTGTAAAATTGTGTAAATGAGGTCTTGATGAAACACAGTCACAGTTCAGTCAGAAAAAAAACAAAAAAACAGAAAGTGACGGACGCAGAGGACAGCAGGGAGACATCCAGAACTACAGTAAAGCTCTTTATTAAGAAGATCAGTTTCTGTAAGTGTAAAAAACAATGTAACCAGACCTTCAAACATTGTGTTCAACAAAACACCATCATCTCCCAGACTGCACAGACAGCTTTATCTAGAACTGCACAGATAAAGACTGGAAATATGGAGACTCCAGAGAAAGTTCTAGTCTGACAGAATCAGCAGAACTTCTCAGGATGACTGTGTTTAACTCAGTCCATCATGCTGTTTCTGCATGTAGTGGATCATTTCTATCTTTTTGTAGATCTACTTCTAATAGTTTAATATGAACCTCAAGCTGTCATGGTTTATAGAGATATAAGTAATCTTTGTTTCATGATCATTCTGTTTATGGCAAAGGTTTTTTTTTTCATTATGTTTTTTTTAAGGTTGAAAATCAGCTTCATTTTGCTAAAGAAATGTTTGAAGTGATTTTATTTTATTTTGATTTTACAGAAAATCTATTTTAATCATTTTAATTTAGTGAAGGTGCTGCACCTCTACACTGGATTAAACTACTACAACCCCATTTCCAAAAGAGTTCATACACAATGCAATGATGTGCAAACCATTAGAGTATAGAAATGCTCTCACTAAAGCTCGCTCAGCATATCTGGCCTCGCTGATCGAGAACAATAAAAATAATCCTAGAGTACTGTTTAGTGTGATCTCTAGAATTACAAAAAATCAGGCAGGTACTGAACCACAAATTCCGGCGACTCTCACCAGTGAAGTTTTTACGGACTTTTTTAATAATAAAATCGAAAATATTAGACAACAAATTCAATCCACAGTATTAAATCCAACTTGGCTGTCATCTGACATGGCTGATATAAAACATAACATAGCTGCAGAAGAAAGGCTTGAAAATTTCTACCCACTCCCACAGCTAGAACTAGAGAAGATTATCTCCTCTGCAAATTGTACAACCTGCACACTTGATGCAATCCCCTCAAAATTACTCAAAGAAGTACTACCAGTTATCATTAATCCTCTTTTAACTATAGTAAACTCGTCCCTTAGCCTGGGCCATGTACCCAGAGCTTTTAAACTAGCAGTTATTAAGCCTCTGATCAAGAAACCAAACCTTGATGCTAGCATATTGTCTAATTACAGGCCTATATCTAACCTGCCATTTATATCTAAGATCTTAGAAAAAGCCGTAGCCCAACAACTTAGTTCATATCTAGATAAGAACTACATATTTGAGAAATTCCAATCTGGATTCAGGCCACATCACAGCACTGAGACAGCTCTAGTTAAGATAACAAATGATCTTCTTGCCTCTGATCAAGGCTACATATCCCTGTTGGTGCTACTTGACCTCAGCGCAGCTTTCGATACGATAGACCACAATATTCTCCTAGAAAGGTTAGAAAACATGGTTGGAATCACAGGGAAAGCCCTATCATGGTTCAACTCTTACTTAACAGAACGTTATCAGTTCGTAAAGGTAAATGATTCATCTTCCAATTATTCACAAGTAAGATCTGGAATTCAGCAAGGCTCCATTTTAGGACCATTATTATTTACATTATACATGTTACCGTTAGGCACAGTTATAAGTAGCCATGGCATTAACTTTCACTGTTACGCAGACGATACGCAATTATACATATCAGCCAAGCCTGATGACAAACACAGGTTAAAGAAAATAGAGGACTGTGTAAAAGATGTGAAGGGTTGGATGTCGCGTAACTTCCTCCTTCCAGTAACTTCCAGTAACAAAACAGAGGTTCTCCTTCTGGGTCCGAAAGTGGCAAGAAATAAATTATCAGATTTAACTTTAAATCTCGCTGACTTTCCAGTTATACCAGGTTCAGCAGCAAAAAATCTTGGCATCATACTTGATCCAGATTTATCATTCGATCAACACATAGGCAGCATCACTAGGACAGCTTTTGTACATCTTCGCAATATCGCCAAAAGAAGAAATGCCTTATCACTGCACGATGCAGAAACATTAGTACATGCCTTTATTACCTCAAGGCTAGATTACTGTAACGCACTACTGTCAGGATCCACCAGCAGGAATTTAAGTAAACTTCAACTAGTTCAAAATGCTGCAGCCAGGGTTCTCACTAAAACTAGAACATTTGATCATATCAGTCCAGTTCTATCATCACTCCATTGGCTGCCTGTTAAATTCCGTATTGATTACAAAATTCTTTTATTGACGTATAAAGCCCTACATGGGCTCGCTCCTGAGTACCTGCAAGACCTAATTTCCCATTACGAGCCACCACGATTACTCAGATCACAGAGTGCTGGCTTTTTAATAGTTCCCAGAATTCAGAAGGTTTCATCTGGGGGAAGAGCCTTTTCTTATAAAGCCCCCAAACTCTGGAATGATCTTCCAGAAAATGTTTGGGACTCAGACTCAGTCGCAATATTCAAATCTAGGCTGAAAACTCACTTGTTTAGTTTAGCTTTTGGTAGCTAATGTTTCCCCTTGGATAAAGGCAGCAGATCCAGGGGTCCATGGACGCAGGGAATTATAGTAAACTGAGACTGGTGCTGTCGTCCCGCCGCTCACACGCGATCACTCAGGTTTGTGGACGGTGGAGCGGAGGGATGCCAGATTGTCTCAGGGTGCTCCCGTGTCTGTGTGCCCTTTTGGTTCGCTCCTTTTAGTTAAGCTGTTATAGTCAGATCTGCCGGAGTCGTTAGCCACACTCTGGAAATGTTTTACATATTATGATACATACACCCATACAGAACTAAACTAACTCCATCTCCCTACCTTTCTTCCGAGAAAACGACTGCCCACCTGTCCGGCCGGACACTGCTGGATGATTGTTTGTAGAGCTCTCCGGCTACCCGCTTCAGACCAGTTACCCACAACCCAGTCACCGCCACCTGCCTTGGACTGGCTGCCCACTCTACACTGAAGTCTCCTAACTATTACTACCTCCTAACTATTACTACCTCCTAACTATTACTACTACTACTACTATTAATATTAGTAGAATAATAATTTTGTACGTAGTTTGACCAGAGGAGGATGGGTCCCCCCTTGTGAGCCTTGGTTCCTCCCAAGGTTTCTTCCTCAGCTCTGAGGGAGTTTTTCCTTGCCACTGTTGCCCCTGGCTTGCTCACCCGGAGGATTTACATTTCATGTTGAAACTTTGTTCTAAACGGATTTCTGTGAAGCTGCTTTGTGACAACATCAGTTGTAAAAAGCGCTATACAAATAAATTTGATTTGATTTGATTTGATTTATTTGACCATAATCAACATTATTCAGTAACATGTCAGAGAACTAGTCTGATTAAGGCTGAGAACAGATCTTTTGTACTTGGTGAGTCATTTATCATCTGTAAGCTGTTCTTAATGTGTGTAAATGATTCGTTCTAAAATGATCCACTAATTTAACACTCTCAGTCTCCTCCCCCTAACTAGGTCCCCCAATCACAGGACTCTGTGAGGGGGAGTACCAGCACCTGCTTCCTCTGAGACACAGCATCACTGGACGATAATGGAAGAGATAAACAGTTCATTCATTTTGAGACTAAAGGGTCAGAGACTCAAGAAAAAAAGAAAAACGCCATATTTAGTTTTGTTCCCTTAGAAAATCACCTAAACATGTCGTTTGACTGGGAGGTTCAAACTTTTGCACATGACTGTATCTGTACACTTTGTAGCGCTAATAGGCTGCAGATAGATCACTGTGTTTTGTCTATAATCTGAAAATGTTTACTGTACAGATTTTTTCTACACCTTTCTGAGATTTTGGATGCATTGCTCAAAAAAATAAATAGGCATAATAAAAAAACAGACCACACAAATATTATGAGTGGAAAAAATTAAATATAAGAGAATGTAAGATATGAGACCTTTAAACAGTTCAGTACTGAATACATCACTCAACCTCTCTCTCTCTCTCTCTCTCTCTCTCTCTCTCTCTTATCTGACTTCAATGGGTGGTTCTCTTCAGTTTGAGTGGTTTCCATGGTGATGGTTTCAGTGTTGGTTTCTGACAGTCTGAAAGAAAAAGCAGAGACAAACACAAACATACATATACATTATCAAGCTGACAGATTCACATTATTATTATTATTATTATTATTATTATTAATCATACATACATACATACATACATCATCTAAACCGCTTATCCTTCTGGGTCGCGGTGGGGTGCTGGAGCCCATCCTAGCTCTCATTGGGCAGAAGGCAGGATACAGGCAGGTCGCCAGTCCATCGCAGGGCAGACAGACAGACATACACAGTCACACTCACTGTGTATCCTGCCTTCCGCCCATTGACAGCTGGGATGGGCTCCAGCACCCCACCGCGACCCAGAAGGATAAGCGGTTTAGATGATGTATGTATGTATGTATTATTATTATTATTATTATTATTATTATTATAATAGTAAGGCAGGCTTTCAAGTGGTGCAGCCGTCTAAGTGTTGCCCCCATCATCAGGAGATCATGAGCTCAATCCCTGGTGATGCTACAGCCATCCGTGGATGGGAGTCCAAGAGAGCACAATCGGTCTCGCTCTCTCTGGGTGAGTAGGATGGCCCCCCATCTCCCCCCATTACCCAGTGTGATGCTAGTCAGCACAGGTATTTGTTAGCTGGTGTAACACAGCTGGATCTTCACAGGTCTCAGAGGAAGCCTGTCTAAGCTTTCACCCTCCTAGTGCTGGTGGTATCGTGTGACTGGGGAAGTTCTAACTAGTGGCTGTTGGATATGACCAAATTAATTAGGGATAACATTGGAAAAAAATGTGTAATAATAATAATAATAATAATAATAATAATAATAATAACAACAACAACAACAACAACAACAACAATCATCATCATCATCATCATCATCATCATCATCATCACAGTTGGTAACAGCTGAGAACAACATTAACACAGAATAACAGATAAAAGACGACATCAGGAGATCAAAGAAAACAGATCTGTCAGTTCAAACTCCACAGATGATGAAGGTGTGAAGGAGACTCCAAAGTGGAGACGCTGCTGTAGATTAAAGTCTATCAGTTCCAGCAGCTACAAAACACTCATCAGTACAAGTGGATTCACTCACTGCTAGAGTGTCGTACTCAGGAGAGCGAGACTGAGGATCCAGAGCTGAGTACAGATCATCAGAAGGACTGGAATGAACAGTCTGTGTGAGGGAAAGAGAGAATGAAGCAGAGGAGGAGAAATGAAGAAATGAGGACTTTGTAGGAATTCTGTATAAATCTGAACGTCTGACTGAACTGAGTTTCTGAAGAGACACTTACTGTGAGTGTGTTGTACACATCATCAGAGGACCTGGACACGGGGTCAAGAGCTGTGTACGTGTCGTCCTTAGCATTAGGGTCAACGTTCTGGACAGAGGAGAGTTACAGAACATAAGCAGTTTGAGTTCTCACTGACCAACATCAAGAACATTTACACTACAGATGAAAACAACTGAACACTTACTTTGTAAATTACTATTTTTTCCATGTTTTTATAGAGATAATAGACTGTAATATCTAAATCCTCCTGTAATCACAGGCTGACATATTTGAAGAATTCCATCAAGTTAGAGAACATTCTCACTGACCAACATCAAGAACACCACTGATCATAGCTTTTATTCATATGTACTGCTTTGTGTATCACACATGATTATAATTTGTACTCTTGTTTTCCTAAACTTTAATTTTGATTCACCAAACACCTCCATTCTCACCACACCAAACCAGAGATAAACACTACTGAGGTTTATTAGTCAAGACTTTTTAATCAGCAGTGTTAGCGTATGTACACCATACACAGGAAACAATCTCAGTGAATACAGACTTAATATTGTTTTAAATATTTGTTCTTCTTAAACCTCAGAACCCTCACATTTTTTATTTTTTTTTTGCATTTTGGGACAGTCATCATAAGGTGGACATGGCTTTACTTTTAACTACAAATTGAGTTGCATATTTAATATCAGATATTTTCAATACTCAAAATCAATGTACACAGAAAGAGCTAATTATTATTCATTTTGTAATAACATTTATGAAATTTAGTGTAATTTATCTGTTAAAATGTGTTTTAGGGCCTGTTTGTGTAATTTTCAGGGAAAGATCACTGGACTGAGATAAAGCTTCTGTCTGTTTTTCCACCCTGAACCCTGAACTCTCTCAGCACTGACACAGGCATGTAGAGTGTGACTAGTGTTTGCTGTCATGTTTCTATGTTGTGGTCAAGTTTGATGTGGTTATATATATGTGGTTGTATTTAGCTGTAAATTTCTGATGATCAGAAATTCTATTCTGATTATTGTTACTTTAAATTGGCCATTAAAATGGAGGTGAATGCAGGATCTGAATGGTGGTTTTCTCAAATGGATTACTGACTGGATCTTCACTGAAACTTCAGAAAGTCACTCTGGACTCACAGGGTAAGTCCTGCTGAGCTGTGATGTGTGAACTGCATCGCTGTTTTAACCCCTTTGTTGCCAAATGAAGGCTAAAGCAGAGTAATAGTAGTAGGTTTGACAGTGATCTGTAAAGTGTTTTACAGTGCGTTTTACAGTGATCTGTAAAGTTTTACAGTGGTTTTACAGTGATCTGTAAGTAACGGCAGGTTCCTCTGAGTGTTCTGATGTGAACTGTCGCTATTTTTAACCCATTTGTTTAACAATATGAAGGCTGAAAGCAGAGATGTAATAACAGTAGCGAGTGAGGTTTGGGTGAATTTTGGAGCTGGATTGCTGGATGATGGATGGACACAGGTGGATGAAATCACATAAGATTGTGAGGACAGAGTCTGATGAGTGATCTGATGTGAATCATGTCAGTGTTTTAACCCTTTGTTGGAATATGAAGATTAATAACAGATGAATAATATCAGGATTTTGGATGATTTTCGGAGCCAAATACTCATTGATGCTGACATCACAGCTCAATGATGTCATGCTCGCTAGTTTGGGCCAGGTCTGCTGAATGGTTTTGATATGTGTGTCATGTCTGTAGCTTAAACTGCTCTGTAGTTATGAAGCTAGAAATGAACTTCGCATTTTACCCAGAGCTAAAACAAAAGTAAAGATGTCACTAAATCTCATACAGCTAAACATGTTTTTGTGTAGTAACTGACTTGCCTGTTCTTGGTTTGCATCATCAGCTGAATTGCCTCTTCTCTTTCTCCTGAAAAGTAACAGTGTAAAAATAAATATATTAATATTAACAACAATATTGTGCAAAAATTGCAACATTTTTTTTCACTGATACATCTACAAAAACTGGTTCCAGTGATAAAAAAGCTAAAATAAGGTCTAATAATCTACATTAATATTCATTTTCATAGCTCTTTATAAAGATGTGTTTGTTTACCTTACACAAAATACAGCAATGATAACAGATAAACATCCACATCCAGCTGTGACTCCAATAACTGCATATAGAGCTGAATTCCCAACTCCTGTGTTCAGATGAATGTTAAAGTTTAAAGTTATGCTAATTTTTATGAATGTTATTAAGTGTTATTCAGGTTGTGTTTTCATCACTAATACCTTTTTCAGTGACAGTCACTGCAGCTGATTTCTGAGATCCATATTCATTCTGAGCCACACAGTAGTAGGATCCACTCTGTAGAGCCCTGTAACTGTGTCCAGATCCTACAGGTGAGCTTCCACCTTCTTTAAACCAGGTGTAGTTCTGCACAGGTGGGTTTGCATCACTGCTGCAGGTCAGAGTCACTGAACTGCCCTCCACTATTTCACCAGAGGGACTGATGGACACTGAGATGCTCTTTGGGCCATCTAGAGGTAGAATAAGACATTACACTTCATGGAAGTACTTTTCTATTTGATTAAGCAAACTGTAAATGTCCTGTAGGAGTAGCTCATGTTTTATTGCAGACACACATCATTCAGTTCAGCATATGAAGATCACTGTTGTTACAGCTTTATAAATAATTATACTAAAGACTCAGAATAAAACATTCCCAAATATTTCTTTGCTCTTTAAGGATTAATAATACTTTAATTAATAATACTTTATTATTAATAATAAAGTAACAACTTCATGAGTTCTATCAGACATATGCAATTAAGCGCAATTAAGGTAGGTAATGGTCTATACTAAAGTATCCTTAATTAACTTTCACTAAATTATTATATTATGCACTATATACAGACTTACATATAACATAGGAAGTAACATTAGGAGAGTTAAAAGTCCTTTATGAGCTCAGGAGTGTTGGAGCAGGAAAACATAACATTCAGTGAGGAGAATCTGCAGGACTGAGATTATTAACTACAGTTTTACAGTTAAAGTGTGTTCTGTCTGTACAGATATTACAGTGACATCCTAATGAATATTTACTGCAGGTACTCAGTGATATATTACTTTATAAACAGAGATCAGTTGCTGGACTAAACTTAATCACAGACAGTTCAGCATGAAGCCTCAGCTTAGTTTGTGTTCTGAGACTGAATGAATGAATCTGTACTTACATCTGACATTCAGAGTGACCTCAGGAGAGTTCAGACCCAGTACAGCACAGTGATACCTGCCTGCATCCTCCCTGCTGACCGGCTGCAGGTGGAGTTGGTCAGTACTGGAGGATAAACGATGTCCATTTCTGTACCAGGTGAATGTTGGTCTGACTGTCAGACTGCAGGTGGTTTTACATGTGAGAGTGACTTTATCTCCCTCTATCACTCTCTCAGGAACCTCCACCTGGAGATCTGAGTGCAAGAGAACAAATTGTTTACCAAAAAGAAAAAACTCAAACGTTACTGTGGATAACTCATATCAGCTGAATGAGTGTATCAGTGGGGTCTTGAATCAGGGCTGCTGGAGCCACAGAGGCAGGCAAATATTTGACCCACCAATTTTTGATTGTGTTGATTGAGGATGCCAACAAGAAAAACAAAACAAAAGAAAATCACTCTCCCTTAACTGCAGGAAAGCCCTAACCTATAGACAAAGAGAAACAAACTCATTGGCAGAACCAATCAAAATCTCACTTTCATCTCAATTTCAGTTTGAATTTTCCCAAGCAGTAAAATCTTTGTGAGTTCATGCTTAAAGAGAGGAGCTGCAGTTCATTAATCTGGTAAAAATGGTAAAATGGTTTTAATGTAATACACAGATTAATGTCCAGGTTCACAGTTCACGTATGTGGATTTATTAATGTCAGATTGTTTATGTTTCAGTACTGCTACATTGTTAAACGAACATGTGAACACTCCACCCATATTGAGGTCGGCACCAAAGAACTATACCACAGCAAAAATGGTGGTGATGTCCTGTCTGCTTAATTTTCCTGTTACATTTTACTCTTTACAGATGCTCACATTGTTCTTGCAGCATGAGCTGCTGTGAGTATCGGAAGAAAGCAATAAAATAGTAGTGAAGAAATGTGTTTGATTTTGGCACATAGATCACTGGCCAAGCATCATTGGAAAGTTCTGACCCAGTACAGCACAGTATACCTGCCTGCATCCTCACTGCTGACCGACGCAGGTGGAGTTGGTCAGTACTGGAGGATAAATAACGTCCTTTTCAGTACCAGGTGAATGTTGGGCTGACTGTCAGACTGCAAGGTGGTTCTACATGTGAGAGTGACTTATCTCCCTCTATCACTCTCTCAGGAACCTCCACCGAGGATCTGAGAAACCAAGAAAACAGACTCACACTGTGGAGACTCACACTAGCTGAGTGAGTGTGTTAATGGTGTATTTAATATTTTATTTAAAAGTAGAATTAAAATTAATCCTAAATCATGAAGTTGCAGCAGCTCAGATTTGACCACTGGACATAACATATAAATATACAGTGATTTGAGTGAGATTGACCGTTATTTTACACATTAGAACATTAGCAGTGTGAAATTTCCCTGTTGTGGGACTAATAAAGGATTATCTGATCTGTGAAGATCAGACTCTGACTCTGAAATGCTTTATAATTGTGGTTCTCCAGTTCTAAGCAGTGTTT